CTTGGTTTTATTAAAAAATATTAATTAGAAGTCGAGATATGATAAAAAAACGATTTTCGGGGGTGAATTTCAGGGGTCGTTTTCACCCCTTTAAAGTGGATGTCAGCACACAAAAAAAATACGTGTCTCTTATTTTGTCGAGTACTACAACATATCAAACAATTATTGAAATCGGTGGGGTCGGGTTGGGGGGGTTTCCTTGTTAGTGTAAAAAAATTACGCCAAGTACAGGAGTGCTGTAAATTCCTCTAACAAAAAATATTTAAATCATATTATTAATGCCAACTACATAAGTCACTATATATCTGCCTATTATATAATCTAGCACTGGCTCATCATTTTAATTGTATTTTCAAATTTTCCTATAATGTCTTCGCTACTCTTTTACATTATTACTGCTTCCCGTATTTAATTATGATTTAATGATCATTTAATAATTATTAAAACTTTAGATGATTCCTTATCGAGTACTACTTGGAAGGGTCCGTTCCAGAAATTTCAAAGTACTTACTTTGAACGTACTAATAGTACTCTAATATTATATGTTTGTTATTAAGCTTTTATCGGGATTATTTTTGACTTATTGTTAATATGCTCTATATAGACATTTGACACTGGTTTTGGGTTTAATGACTGGCATAAGGAACGCAAATTTATATCAAGAAATGCACGAACCCACCAAGTAGTACTTGATAAGGAATCACCCAGCTATGCCCTGTAAGCCGGCTGCCTGTACTTGACGCGAGACTTGACCGAGTCTCATGATACACATTTCAAAGATGACTTTTCGATATACATATATCTTGAATCTCGAATCACGAAAATAGTAATTTATACGGAATTGATGCATTATCTTTATGAAACTGGAATCCGTTCATATGTGTATAAGTTCTACAATTACTGAAATGATATTTCCATTTATTACAAAATTCAGAAAGAATGTGATAAAACGATTGGTTTATTTAGAAAATATCGGGGTATTTTTATAACCAATTTAGACAACCAAGACACGAAAATGTTCACCGTTGTTTTTTTCTTTTACTCCTTTCCCTACTGATTGCTTTGATTGTGTTTCACAGCCAGTTTGAGTGCCGTCTCTGTGGGATTAATATATGCCTGGCCGACACCATCACTTCCAAAACTACTTGCAGAAGGTGCTACTTTGCAATTGACTTCCAGTGATGGTGCTTGGGTAGTAAGTGCTCTGAATTTGGGAGGAATTTTTGGTCCTATTATTGCGGCTCTTCTAGTGGATCGAATTGGCCGAAAACTGAGTCTCTCCTTCACAGCTGTACCAATTTTCTTATCCTGGCTCTTCATTTATTTGGGAACAAATTATGCATGGCTCTTTTTTGCAAGATTTATCGGTGGAATTGGAACTGGTGCAATTTTCGCCCTCCTTCCAATGTACATAGGTGAAGTGACACAGGAAAAAGTTCGTGGTGCGCTTGGTGTTCTAATAACAGTGATGGTGACTGCAGGAAACCTTATCACGTACACTGTAGGGCCTTGGGTAACGAGAGAGGTAATATCAATTATATTTTCAAAGTTTTGTTATACAAGCAAAAGACACATTCGCATACTTATTTATTATTTTATAGATCCTGGCTCTTATCTCCGCAGTACCATCCATTATATTCATTCTAACCTTCATTTGGATGCCAGAAAGTCCTTACTATCTAATTATGAAGAAACGAAGTACAGAAGCAGCTAACTCACTCGCTTGGTTACGTGATACGTTGATGGTTAAGGAAGAATTAAGAAGAATAACCGAACAAGTAGAAATAGAACAGAAAAGCAAAGGAAAAATTACTGAAATTGTAACTGTTCCTGGGAATAGGAAAGCTATGATGATTATATTAGGATTATTATCGGCCCAACAATTTTCAGGCACCATACCTCTTCTTTCTTATGCAACTTTAATATTTCAACAAGCAGCGTACAGTTTGCATCCTAATATTTCTGTCATCATTGTGGGGGTAGTCACCTTGATCTTTAGTCTTCTAGCTGTTTTACTTGTCGATAAAGTAGGTAGAAAGCCACTATTGCTATTTTCCTCAGCCGGTACATGTTTTTGTCTCTGTTTACTCGCTATTTTCTTTCATCTTCAATATGCAAATATGAATGTCTCCTCGATATCGTGGCTCCCTCTGGTGACAATTATTTTATTTAATGTACCATACTCCATGGGTATCGGTTCTTTACCTAATGCTGTACTTTCAGAAATATTTCCTACGAACGTTAAAGCTTGGGCTACCATGCTAGCATCTACGTATGGTTCTCTCTTAGGCATGATACTTATTAAATTATTTCAAGTAATCAGTGACGCTAAGGATGTGTTCGCGGCTTTTTATACATTAGCTGCAATAGAAGCTTCATTCATTTTCTTTATATATTTTATAGTACCAGAAACTAAGAATAAATCTCTCAAAGAAATTCAAGAGATTCTTCATTCACATGTCACTAAATCTAATGCTATCATTCATACTTGATTTCTTAGCGCTATTATTATTGTTTTACTTTCTACATAATATCTTGCGGTATATCAAGAAATCATTCCACAGAGTACAAAATAATATCCTAAAGATGGATGACAGTTCTATGGATGTATAAACGTGCCGCATATGTCGCATGGACTTTTTTTACCATGTAGGCATGATTACATAGTATGTTACTTATTGCAATGATCATTATCATTTCGATTGTTATATACTTGATATTCAGTAATTGATGTATCAGAAACATAAGTTAATGAACATTAAGTAAGGCAAACGTCTCAGTGGCCGAACACGCTATATTAACGGACAAAGCGTGTGTGCAAGAGAGATGGAAGTACGGTTTCTTATGGACATTCGGGCACTGAGACGTTCACGTGTACCTTAATAGATAAACAGGGATACGACCGACCATTCTCGAAGTATGCTAGCAGTGAATTTAGAAACGTACCTGTAATGAGAGAGGCCAATATCTTAAGCTAATGACCTGTCAAAGATGCTTATTAAAGAGTTTTCAAGCTTCATAATAAACAAAGCTTCTGTCTCTTCTTTCTTTTAATTGTTGCTTTCATCTTGGAAGTTTGCTCTATATTTTTTGTCTTTAATTTCTTGTTTTAAAAAATCCCACTGTATCTGTCATTGTGCTCATACGAAGACGTCGTAGATTCTCTTCTGGAATTTTTTTGGGTCTTGTAAAGAAAGGAGCCGAGAAACTCCTTGTCCCTTGCTTTATTTTTTGCTTCTCATTTCAGTCAGCATCATCAGCATGACTCAAAATAATGTATTATTTTCACGTATGTTGCGTTTTCAATAAACTACCCTTATTACCCAGATACATATTTAATAAATATTCTGGCTGAAAAGACATTTTACAAATGACATGTTACAAATGACTAACATCACCTGTGTCACGTACAAAGTCATAATCATATTGTATAATGTACATGGAAATCACGTGCAGCTAATATCATATCGTTCAAACGACACTTTAACTCACAAAGTTACAAAAGTCTAAGTTACAAAATACTCTCGAGTGTCGCCTAGCGAAATAAAAAATATACAGGACTAAGAAAAGTAAAGATGAATTAGTATGTTGTTAGTACTTCTCATTATTAAACAATTCTTGATTTGGCAAGTTGGACGACCTGGAGCAATACCACGACTTGTGAATTTTCAACTATTTTACTAAAAATCATATAAAGTCACTGCTACAGTAATCCCATTGCATTCTAAAGTACAGTTATAATATTGTTACGTCCTATGCGTGAGCGACCGTATGCGGGAGCATCAGGGAGCAGTAGAGTATTGCCGAAGGATGCTCTCTCTCGTTCCCTGATTAGAAATATAAATTTCCTTCCGGAACTACTAGATCTTGAAATTTTCAAAAAGTTCAAAAATACACTTTTTCACTCCAACCCCTGCCATTCGGCCATTTTGTATCCGATCGGGATAAAACTTTTACCATTCGAACGGGAAGGAAATTTCCTAAAAAATATATCTTTGGTTTCTTCCGGAACTACTAGATCTTGAAATTTTCAAAAAGTTCAAAAATACACTTTTTCACTCCAACCCCTGCCATTCGGCCATTTTGTATCCGATCGGGATAAAACTTTTACCATTCGAACGGGAAGGAAATTTCCTAAAAAATACATCTTTGGTTTTTTTAAATCGGTCATAGTTTCGTAGAGATACACAAAAATTAAAGTGTTCCACTTCAATTGCGCATTACTGTATGTATAATGTATATATGCCCATTATATATAATATATATAATATATATTATATATATATGTACCCATTTCATTACTCCCCATTAACATTAACCTCCAATTGATTTCATTTAAATATCTTAACTGAAAATATGCAAAACTACGAAAATTGCACTAAGGGGTGGTCAACTTTAGGGATTCATTTCACCCCATATAAACGTTTTTCCGCCGATAAAAAAATACATGTCATTTAATTTCTCATGCTCTACAACATATTTAAATTTCATCAAAATGGGGGGGGGGGGCACTTGAAATACCTTTCTCGTAAGAGGACGTTCGTAATGAACAAGAGCAAATTGTCGTTATTGCTCGTCAAACACAGATGGTGAGTAAAAACTTATGTAATTCCATATAAAAATCACTTTCTTGTATTTAGTCATGCGCAAAACATCTATGTTACACAAATAATGTTAATGATATGAGGTAAAACTAAACTTCAATATACCGTAGATATGTTTAGAAATTGTATTGATCATACATTGTATACTGTAAAATATATAATCAAAAACTTACATTTTAGATTTTAGGTTCAGGTCTCGAAATCAAGAGAAGAAAGTATAGTTTAACACAATATAATAAATGATAGACAGGAATACAAGTAGGTGTCGCAAGTATATGCGGTAGTAAGTGTGCGCTAATCTACTAACTAAATGAAATCCGAATACAATGTATGTGTGATCGTCAACTTCTGTAGCGTGAGCTACAAAAATATATATATATGTATAGATGTAAGAATGTGAGTTACTTACCGGTGGATGAGCAGAGGAAGAGAGAGAGACGGCGCTCGGTTCTCGACGATAGTGAAATAGATTTGGTTGAACGGGAGATTCTTGCTGTAGCGTGAG